CCCAACATTCTGTGATTCTGTGAAATTTGTGTTTTCGTATTCATATTCATATATGGTTGCACTTCCATTTTGTTCCAAAAGGTGGCAATGAGAGCCTTGGGTTTTGATGTGAAAAAAGCTGATGTACTGAAAATACTTAAAGATTACGATCGGGAATCGACAGGCAAGATCACCTTTGAAGATTTTAATGAAGTTGGTATGTGTTTGATTTTGTACCTTTAGAGAAATTTTAGTCTATAGCAGTGGCAATTTGGAAGCAGTACTTTGTGTACTTTTTCAGTTATCTAATGCTATAAAGAAATGGAAGACTTCATTTCATATTTTTTCTTAATAAAAATTAATAGCGGAGGAAAATATATCTTTGTATTCTGAATTACTTAGTTTGATATGTAGACATGAATAATAGGCACAGTATAAAAGGAAATAGAATGTACACAGTCCTAATCGTTTTCAAACTTACACAAAAGAATAAGTGCTAACTTAAAATGTACATATTTTTGTGTTCTTTATGGATTTTGTAAGATTTTTCCTTCCTGCTGTGGAAAAAAAATTGGTATTGAATTGCATGGGAAGGAGTGTATACACAGACAAAGTGTAAACTAAATACAGGCTTCACATGTAACAAAGATAAGAGAAATCGAAGCAGATGTTAAATATTGTACTTTAAGGCTTTACAACTGTTGATGAAAACAGTGGAATTTCATTAGGCTGTTTCTTTCATCTGAAGATTGTGTATTGCACAGTTTGGCATACATTGAATATGTCATGATCTGCAGAATTTTTAAAGATTAAGTTTATTTGTACTTTTTTTTTTTGGTTGCTACATGTAATTTATATTTTTGCATACAATTTGTGTTTACAAACAAAGAAGCTGTGTGGGATTTCTCCATATATGGCCTTATATCTCCATTTCATTATTCCAGTGTATGTGCTCAAGTTATTAGATTTCTGTGAATTTTCTGAGGAAAAAAACCTGAAACATCCCAAAACAAACAAACAGATAAACAAAAACCCCAGTGTAGTACATGCCTATTTGCTCTTGGCTACAAATAACAATCTCCTTCATGTGGCAAAACAGTTACTGATTGAAATGTGGCAAATTTTAATGACTTAGGAGATTAGGAGTAGGCAAATGTGTTCTTAATGACAGATAATATTTTTGTGGTTGTATTTCAGGTTAGAGCAAATTATAAGTCAGAAAAGAACCAAAAATAAAGCCTGTGGGGAAATACACGTGATGGGCCCTGATTTAATTTTTAAAAAGTACATTAAAAAATAGAGTATTGCTTTAATGATAATATTATAATTGCATCATTATGCCATACTATTATATAATTGAATATGCTGTAATTACCAAGTAATTCTGTCTTAAATCCCGATGTTCAGTCCTGTCACTGTCCATTGTTTCCTGGTTCTGTCCTGGCTGTCAGCATGGGCAGTCAATAAGTGCTATGAGAAACTAGGACACTTCTTGTAGAAAGCACAATGTATACTTGGAAAACCACTGAAGCTGTCCCAAAAATTGAATCAGGTTTAGATGCCACTGTGATGCAATATGGTCTTGACAGAGAATTAAACATGATGCCACTTCTAGCAGGAAGTTCAGGGAGTTAAGAGAAAATAGGTTGTAGCAGCTTTAATTGTGTAAGAGCTGCTGAACAGAGCTAAGCCATTCTTGAGCCATCTATTTTTCATAATTTAATATTATTTATGCTTTCAAATGTAAGAATGGCCCATCTAAAAGGTATAAAGATGCAATTATATCTTGTCTTGTTTTGTACAATCATGTTACCTGTACTATCTAGAGATACAGTGTTTTATTGCGCCTCAGCTGATGTTGCAGTTGTCTTTTTGCCACGAACAGGAGAATTTTTCAAATGGCATAATGCTGTCGTGCAGCATAGTTGTTTTAAATGAAAATATTTAAATGCAGTGTAAATTTGAGGGATTTACGTAGACATATAAACTTCGTGGCTGTAGTGAGCTTACATGAACTTGAATCTAATTTTTTTCCCCTCAAGTTTGCTAAGCCAGAGCAGGTGTTGCATCTGCAGACAGTAGCAGATGCTAAGTGGTTCTCGAGGCACAAATAGGGTTGATGTGTTTTTAACAGCTTGATAAAAACCATAAATAGCAAACCCTGTAATACAAGACTAGCAGGTACAAAGATGTGAAGATATTTACAGCTGGTTCCGGAAATGTCTGAAATAATGACTAGAAAAATATTTTATGTGGCAAGTTTGTCTTTTCTGTTACAGAAACAGTGAACACTGTGAGGGTGGTCAGACACTGTCCCAGGTTGGCCAGAGAAGCTGTGGCTGCTCCTCCCTGGAAGTGTTCAAGGCCAGGTTGGATGAGGCTTTGAGCAACCTGGTCTAGTGGAAGGTGTCCCTGCTCATGGCAGGGGGGGTTGGAACTGGATGATCTTTAAGGTCCCTTCCAATCCAAACCATTCTATGATTCTGTGAAATGGTTGTGATAAAAGGAGTAATAAAGACTGATGAATCCTTTCAGAATTAACATCTTCTGGTTCATAACACTGTCGTTTTCGTAACCCCTGGGCTTAGGATTTGTTGGTGGGGTTTTTTTGTTTGGGTTTGGTTGTTTTTTTTAGAATGGCTTTGTATCCGAAAGAGAGATTCTATGTGAATGTCTCTCATTACTTAGTGTTTCAGTGTTCTCTCCAACTCAAAATTAAATCCTGATCAAAACATTGAAAATTAAAAAAAAAATCAGATGTCTGCATCTGTCAGAGCTGGTGGGTTGTTTTTTTTTCTGACAGGTAAGTTTGGAACAGAGTAGGCATGTGTGTAATTTTAATTCCTATTGAGAAGCGTGTTGAAAGCATAACTCTGAATTGCCATGTAGCTTTCCACTGCAACAGGTTTATCCTAAAGAGTAACTTGGCTTGGGAAAAGAGAGATGAGAAGGAGAGGTCAGATAACAGCCAAACAAATGTGTGTTGAATTGAAATATATAAAAAATACTGGAAGTGTGTGTTCTTTGCATTGCCTCAGTCTGAATTTACCCTTCAGAATTTTTTAGTCCAACTCAAATATCCTTCTTACAGTGACAGACTGGATATTGGACAGAGACCCACAAGAAGAAATACTCAAGGCATTCAAATTGTTTGATGATGACGACTCTGGTAAAATCAGTCTGAGAAACCTGCGCCGAGTTGCCAGAGAACTGGGTGAAAATATGTCTGATGAGGAACTGCGGGCTATGATTGAAGAATTTGATAAGGATGGAGATGGAGAAAGTACGTGTTAGCAAACAAAAACTCACACAGTCTGGTCTTAATTTTATCTCCTTTTTAAATGTGGTTTTGTTGTGAGAGTGTCCTCTTTGGTTTCCATCTAAATAACTTTCATCTCAAATTTAATTTGGCTTACCAATAATAGAGATTGTTTATTTTGACAGCTACTAGTCCTGAAAAGACATCTGGGAGTCTAAAAATCAAGTTGTTTCACCACTAACTCTTATTCAACCAATGTCTATTAGAAGATTAGTGAAAGTGTAGATGAAGGTGGAAGAATGTAACTGGTGCATGTAGCTACATTACATTTTTTATTTCCTCATAAATCCGTGAAAGGATTACAGTGCTTTCTCTTAAGAAACTCTTGATCCCTCAGTCACTGTTTCTTAGGGGATGATGTGTCACTGTTGTTGATTTCAGCATGTTAGTCAGATGCTAGTCAGAGTATTAAGCTAATAAATCATGCTGGATGTACACTTACCCTATACAGGATCCACTTGGGTGGGACTTTAATGTACCTCTGAATTTAAGAGTGCTGAAGAGCACAGTGTGAAAAATGGCTCTGGGCAGTCGACAAGGTCCAAGGTCCATTCAGAGGGGACTGCAAAAGGGTTTTATTAACTGGATAACAACTCTGTTTTGACACTGTGCTTACTAAATCTTCGTGAGCACTGAAACTTAGGTTGTTTTCATTAACTTAAAAACATCCTTATGTTTACACCAGAAACCTGAATATCTGAATTTCAGGGAGCGCTCACTTGAGACCGTGTACATAAACACTGCATTTTTAAGTCATCGAAACCTACTTCTGAGTTTTTCTTTCAGGGTGGTGATTCATGTCTGAGATTTCACTAGCAACTCATCAGCTTTTCCAGTTACAGTAGTATTTCTGCTGGTGAGCCACCACATCTGTTGGACTCAAAACTCTCACTACTAGTGAAAAAAAAACCAACCTCCCAACTGTGTTGTTGTCAGCCTTGTGACAGGCACTCCTCCCCTGTGTGCTGTTTGTGATTGGTGTTATTCCACGCTTGGAATACAATTACTGAAGTACTGAAACAACCTTTTTTTCTTTCAAGAGGAATAGCAGAACATTTTAAACACGGTCAGTGGTGTCGAAATGCAAACCTTTAATTCCATTGTAGTGGTGTAAATAGGATGCCTGGAGACAAAGATAGTGAAAGGTCAGTGATTCAACTGTCAGGAGAGTGTTAATGTTGGCTGTTACTACTAAAGTAAATGTTGAGAAAATGGTGTGATTTGATGTCTTTCCTTTTGAAGCTGTTGTTTTCTGGTATCTTTCTATGGTCTGAGACCATGTGTCCTTAATAAATCCATACTGATTGTGGTTCTGATGTTCCTCTACACTTCCAGCTGTATCTTCCCACCCGTTTCTTGCACTGTCAGTATCTGACCCCACAGGTGAGATGTTTAAGGGAGCTAACCCAGGGGACAACCGTTCATTTAGGTTTTAAAACTTTATTTTTCTTGCTGCTTGGATCCCTGAACTCACTGCTTGATCAGATTTTCTTGGAGCTGCATCCTGAGAAAATATATTTTGTGGGGTTTTTTTCTCAATGTTTCCTATAGGGTAACTGAAGCGAGTCAGTATAGTGAAAGCTGCAAATGCTGTTTCCAGGCACCTGTCTGTGTGCAGAGATACACAGGACTGTAGCTGTGAATTTCAGTAGACTACAGGATGCCTATTTACTTCCTTTTCAATAGCTGTATAGCAGGCAAGGAACAATGCCTGTTCTATCAGTCCTATAGATTGATTGCTAGTCCACGTAGATACTTTAATTTTTGAGCTTGTTTTGCTTTGAAGAGTTGTAAGGATGTTGCATTGCTGGCTTTACCTTTTTTCCATATTCTTTTTTTAAATTTATTTATTTTTTATTTTTGGGAGTGTATCTGTAGAGGTGAACAAGAGTTAGAAGTCGTCTGCAAGCACGTTTCCTTGTTTGTTCTCTCTCTCTCTCTTCTGAGGTGTCAGAATCATGGATGGTTTTCTGTCATGTGGCTGTTTGGTCACTACAAATTCAATGTAGACCATTAACTCCTTTCAGGCACGTTACTGAGTCATAGTTATTTTGGGTCAGTGCTACATCTTTTTTTTTGTTGTTTTAATTCAAATTTGATCAGCTAAGAGTGGGTGGCTCTGTTTCCTCTTATTCATTCATCCATTCATTCCCTTTGTTAGAGGAATCAAGCACGAGATCAAATTCAGAAGACTGACAGCAGAATGTTAGTATGTGGTGCTGGGTATCCTTAAGGTTCTGTGTGTTTTCTGTTCATGAAAAAAAACTGATGCTGTTTCTTGCCTTTTTTTTTTTTTTTAAGATTCATCCCCAAAAAAGTAAATAATCCTGTGAATCACTGTTCCATTTAGCCTCAAACATCTGCGTCAGGTGACAAAATCTTGTTGTCATCTAATTCTCCTTATTTTCCTGCCAAGAAAAAAAAAATATGAAACTATTAGTTGGTATCATTTTTAATTGATACTTCAAATATAAGAATAATCCCAGCTGTGGTTTAACACATGCCTTGCTCGCAGTGAAATCAGTTGTGAGATACCCAGGCTACCTGAACCCTTGTGTTTTCAGCGAAACCACTGAGCTGTACTGGTACACTGTACATAAGTTTCTGTAGAATAAAGTGTTTTTGACATATTTCTATTTACCTTAAAAAGGTTAATAGCCTTATTTTTGCATTCCTAGTCTTAGGAATGACTTCTCTTTTGGAGTATGATTATTTTTAGAAGCTCAATTCTGCCAGTTCATGCAGTTTTTCTCATCTTGTGTGTGAATGCATCTGCAGGAAACACAATTCTGTCTTAGGTCTAAGATTTTGGTACAGAATTAGGGGGGAAAATCCAACCAAACAAAAAACTCCACTGAAATAATATGCTTTTTCAGCTCTCCAGAATCCAAGTCAATATTTTCTTCATGTTAGCTGTGATGAGAGTTGATTCTTTTATGCTCATTTATATCTTGGAATTCAGGGAAATCTGTCACAAGGAAAGTCTATGATTCCTTCTGATTTCATTGTATTTAACCTGAGAACAGATCCTAAGTCTGAGGAGGATTAACAAGGATTAACTGAGTTACTGGGAACTGTGACTGTACTTCTCTTTGCAGTTTGTTTGAATGTTACAACATTTGTTTGTCATTATAATACCGTATTTCCACTGTGGAGTGCAAATAATTTAACAAAGGTGTTTTAAACCAGAGAATATCTTGGGGAGGATGTTTGTATTTGTGCTGTGACTGTGATAAAGCTGTGGAAATGCTTTTTACAGTCATACACACAACATAGTCTTTATGTGTAGTAGAACATGATGTAGCTGTACCATAGTTTAATATTTCAGAGTGTAGGGTCCTAAGCTAAACTAAATCTACTTGTTTAATATTTTTTTAAATGTGTTGCAATAGGGCAGATTTAGTTTTGGGTTGTTTTTTTTTTTTTTTAGCAGATTTAGTTTTGGGTTTGTTTTTTTTTTTTTAATTCTTTAACATAGTTGAATTTATTTAATTTTCTTCTGGCTGTAAATGTAGCTCTTCCTTTGCAGGGCTTTATTTAGGAATTGGCTTGGACAGATAATTGTCAGGGAGAATTCTTCATTATGTGCCTGGTCTTTTCCATACCACTGACTGATTCTAATCATTCCCCACTGCAGTAATTAGTTGCAGAGTGAACATGTTCATTGGTTAACTGCTTTACAGTGGCTCTGTTTTAACATATGTGTAAGGTCAATAGCTCAGGTATAAGTGCAGCAAAATAATTAATGACTGCTAATTAATTTATTATTGCGACTTAATTTCTTGAAGTACATTTGTGTAAAATTTCTGTTAATTATAACTGAAGAATGAAGAAAGTTCAGATGGGGAATAGGTTGTCAAAAGTCCATTTTAATTCTAGCTAATTTATGGAATCATTAGTAAATTATCTTAAAATTCATTTTGTGTTTGGCAAGTGTTACAGGTTTGAGGGAGAGGAATAGTTTGGAGGGGGTTGAACATAAATATATGAATCATGATTTTAAGAATAAAACCATATTTGATCATAACTGGAGCTGCAACATTGTTGCTTGAGAAGCACTTGTTAAATAAAAATTATTTATCATTTTTAAGATTAGCATAAATCTTAAAAATCATCATAATCAATTATTATTTTTTTGCATAGCCACCTTTTTACATATTTTTCTCAGTGTTTTTTCTATCTTGTTTTACTTTTAGAAGATTTTTACTTTTGTAATCATCAGTAATAGCTTGTTATATGTGAGCTAGGTTTTGGCTTAAGTATTCTACATAATTAAGCCTGCATTCTGACTTTACCTTTTACATTAAAAAAAAAAAAAAGGTGCAAAATCTCTGTTTTTCTAGAAACAGAAAAATCCAGACATATAAACCCTGGTTAGTAATGGTTCAGACACAACGAATACTAACTGGGAAGCCTTTAAGTAAAAAGTATAATACAGATATGCGTTATTTTCTTGTGTGGTTTATGGATGTTTGCTGTTTATCTAATGATTTTCTCTTTTTTCTACAGTCAATCAAGAAGAGTTCATTGCTATTATGACTGGAGATATTTAGCATCAGAAGAAAAGACATGAACTCAGCAGAAAAGGAAGGAATCATTGGCAGTTGCCATTACGATGTCTTTTTACTTTCATTCACTTCTGTAGCTGGAGTGATGCAGAAAATAACTTTCATCACAGGACCAAAATAAAGAGAGGTTATATGCACTGATAGTTCAGTATTTTGGGTCATTAAATATTATCACTAGAATAATTGATAATGTCATTTTAGAACAAGCAAGTAACGCGTTTCAGAATGTCCGAGTACTCGTTTGTAAAATAGCTTTCTATAGGATTTCTAAATTGTATCATATTATAAGAAACTTTTGAGGTTGACCTTGTGTTAGCATTAGCTGTGGCCTTAGTTTTGATACATAAGGTTTCCATTTTAATAAAATTTCCTTTACTATTGCTACTTGAGAGTCTTATTTTTGTAGTTTAATCTGAACTGGACCATAATGTAAAATCCTTCAGGGAAAATATATATATATTTTTTTCATTTATAGGCTTGTACTTCCACTGTTCTAGATGAATGATAACACTAAATGAGCAAGGATTGGCATCCTCAAAGATGCAGTTTATTAACTCTGTATTACCCCACGTGATAGCAAAGAGCAGGCAACTATGCATCATGATAAACTGTATCAAAAATGTGTTTAAATCGTACAGATGTCAACCAGCAGCTCTCAAGATCTTCAGTATCTACAGCTCTGATAGCTGTGAAGACCATGACAACAGTTTATGATGAGTAGATACTCTTTCTGCAGTATCTAGCTAGACAAAGAAACTTATCACACGGAATGAACATTCAAAGTAGTTGAAGAGACTGGATGTATTTCTAGTTTGCTCAGAGAGTTCTTGTGGCTTGATCTTCCAGCTTTTCTGTATATTAGTTGTAGTTTCTTCTTTCTTAATTTCACTCTCCTTATATATCAAAAAATGTAAGTTTAAATCTTGGTTAATCCTGTGTTCATCTTTACTGTCAGAAAAGCAGCTGCTTTTTAACTGTCAGTAATCCTGGAGTTACGAACAGGTTTGCCCTGCACAAGCAGTCAGAGCTTGGAATTTCCAGGAGACAGAAGTTAAGGTCATCAAAGTTAATGGATTTTTTTTCCCATTATTTGTAAAATGTGTATTATGACATTCTTATCTTTGAAATACTGTGTTGCTTTTTATTAACCCATCAGTACCAATCCATTCATACAGAAAGTTAGAGAAATTAAAAATTACTAGCAGTGGCTCCATGAGGAGCAAGGATTATGAGCAGACACCTCATGTAGCACCCCAGTGGGGTACGTGGCCATCAGTTGGGATTTCCTTGCTGGATCACGGATCACTCACTCTGAGAAGTGTCTTTGAAACAGCCTTTGCTAGGAAAGGACATTCCTCCTGTTGAGATTTATATAAATAAATTATATAAATATATATATA